CTTTCACTCTCTCATTTTCTCTCCTCTTCATGATCTTCTTATTTATCTTAAAGAATCATAAAATCTTCCTCAGTTTTCATGTGATATTTCGTTTTTTTACACATATCTCAAGAGTCTAAAAAACTATATCGATTCAGACAATTATAACTGGAGCTATAAACTTATCAATCCACGCTTGAGTTACTGCCAACAAATGTGCCAAGCAATAAAAGCTGGAATAATAAATAATAAATAATAAAAGAACAGAAAACTCAAGTTGAAAAGTGAAAACTTTGTTGACTCGTGTATTGCGTGCGGCGCATAGTTAAAAGCCATATACCTTAATACCTTAATAGTCACACACATGAGAGGCAGCGAGCATAGGTATAAGGTTAAGGATAAAGACAATAATAAGTGACTAAGTGAGTGAACAGGGCACCAGATAACGATAACGTAAATAATGACCAAGGAGTCAAAAAAAGGAGAAAAAACTAGAAAAGAGTGTGGGAGTAGAGGGAAAACGTGCTCGATATGCCATAACCGCACGACGCTCTCAGAGTGGGTCGAAAGACATGGCACACACACACACAGGGCGAAAGAAGAGGCGAAAAAATTGAATTGAACATTTCCGGGCCGACGCTGATGGCAGCCATGCGGGCCAGGACAATGCGACAGGAGAGGACTGGACAGGATAGCACAGCTCGGCACAGTACATGGCCCATTGGCATGTCCATGACTGACCCATTCAATTAAGCATGAAAAAAATGAGCTGAGCGCGTCGTGCGTGGGCGCCACGTGGAATGGCCAGCCTACGTGCCATGGATAGTCAGTCCACGCCTGTTGTTCATAAAAAAAGGGACATCATATGCGAAAACGAATAACAGCACTTAAGGAGCCAGCGACGGACGCTGCCCGCAACAAAACACGCATCACTTGTCACACATACTTAGCAGCGCCGGCAGTCAGGGGCTGGGGCATGTGCTGGGAGTCAGAGAGATATACCAATAACGCGCTCAAAAGGACTCACTTATTGTCATGTCCTGGTGTTGTTATTGAGGTGTAATACAATTTTTTCCATGATACCCATAACAATGGCAACAAAAAAGAAACGAAAAACACGAAAACGAAATAGAAATAGAAATAAAATGAAAACGCCATGCCGACGCAATCAGAAAGGATAACGAGCCGTCGCTGCCGCCGCCGCCGTCGTCGTCGTCCTGGTCACATATGGCGGCATTAGTTTTAGCAACAATAGCAAACTGAACAATTGGGGCTGGGCCTGCGGGCGAGGGTGCGTCCGGCATTGCATAAACTTGCAATTGAGCCAATTTGTAAAGTGCGGCAAGCCCATTAACGAGCTGGGTTCGGCATACAGCATAACAACGCGTTACAGGACAATGCCCACTGCTGCCAATCGAACGTCAGCACCTGCGTCATAAGGCGACAACGGCAACGACGACGACGACCCAAACAGAAAGCAAGTTTTAGGGCTGCGCGACAGACCGGTTGGGGCATTCGAAAACTTTTCGGTGCATATCCCTTTTTATCTTTCGTTTTGGGGCTGCGAGAGGTTTACTACTTTGCATTACAAGCGCCCGCAGTTAAAATTAAAATAAAGTTCTTTCTGCTGGCTATGCTGGCTGGGCAAGAGTTTGGCTCTGCTTCGCTTTCTCCTTCTTTTTTCCGTGCTTAACTAGAAATAAATCTAAAACTCGCACATTTCTCAGAAGCCTCAGCTCCATTCGCTGATGGATACAAAGCGCGCAGGATACGCCAGGACGCCAGGACGCCAGGATGCGAGCCGGCCACACTTGGGCAACGCAATTTTATTTTGCATTTACATGCCCACATGCATTATGCATATATTTGTCTCTCGTGTGTGTGTGTCCATGGTTGATCCTTTGGCTCACAGAATACTCTAACTGCGTCCTTTACAATATAGCGCCACACTCAGCCAGCAATGGCAGCCCAGCCTCATAAAAACATATATAATAAAAATATAAAGATTTTTCTCTTATTACAAAATATATTTGTTATTTGATAGTTTCACATAAAAAAAAAAAAAATTAAAAAAGTTTTTAAAAAAACTCGTTTTTTTCTTATCACATTTTTTTTTTAGAATTTTATATTAAAAAAAAAAAATAAAAATAAAAATATTTTTTAACAAATAAACACATAAATGTACATACATTGCTATAAAAATAATTAATACTTCATTATTTTATTTCATTTTTAGAAAAACCTGCCAATTTATATATATTAATAAATATATAGATATATTTTTTTAAAAAAATATTTTTATTTGTCATATTTTTTAGCTAAAAAATACATATTTATTTCATATTTAATTTTAATATTTTTAATTTTGGTTTTTAACAATTTTTTTGAACATGAAATGTTTAGAATATTATTTAGAAATTATATTTTTTATTTAATATTTTTAAGATTATTTATTTTTATTTTTTAAATTTTTTCATTATTTTCAAATATTAATTTATTTATTTTTTAATTACTTGAGTCAATATAAAATAAAAAATTAATGTATAAAATTTATTTTTATATGACTGTCATCTTACAGCTTAACTTCAGTTGAAATTGAATATTTTATATAATGTATACTTTTTCTGCCTGCCCTTAGAGTATATGCACTTCGATATTGGAAAGCGCAAGGCAGCAGCAGCGCTTTCACATTTCTTGCATGATTTTTTAGTGTTCACTTCTGTTCGGTTCTTTGGCCCATTCCATTGCTCTGTCTCGCTCTTCTACTTCTTCTTTTTTTTGTGAAAGACTTTGAAACAAGGCGCAGGCTACAACAACAAAAAAAGGGCGAGTATAAAGTATGCAAAAAGTAAAACAAAAAGCTTTGGACACAAAGGATGCTACAATAATATCCTTAAGCTACAAATGCAACATGAATTTGTCTTTGCTCCGACCCGACCCGACCCGACCCGACCTGACCCGGCACGAGAGCACGGTCTTTCACTCTGGCTGTCCAGTGCCGCCCACAACGCACGCCCACTTAGCCCGCACTCAACTTAACTTTGTTTTTGCTCTGTCTTCGAGTTGCCTTGGCAAAACAAAAAAAAAGCAAAGCAACAATAAAATTAAAAATAAAAATAAAGGATACTCGAACTTTACAAATGCATACACATTAGAGAGCCAAGCCATGACAGTGCGTGTGTGTGTGTGTGTTTGTGTGTAGTAATCTTATGCGTATCATGTGAACTCCACATATGCCTTGCCACTGCTGCTGCTACTCCTATATGTTGTCCTACAGTTAGTCCTTTAATCCTTTTTGCTGCTTTTGCTTCGACACTTATTTTAATTTATTTCATTTCATTTATGTATGCTACAAATGTCCTTTGTGCTCTACCTCCCCTCCCCCTCTCTCTCTCTCACCCTCTCTCTCTCTCTCTGACTCTCTTTATATGTCTGTTTCTGCTCCCTTCTTGCGTGTGTTGGTGTGTGTGTAATTAAATAAAAACGTATTTCAAGCGACTTTAAGCACATGCATACATACCTATATATATATATATATATATATGTATATATATGTCTCTCTCTCTCTCTCTCTGTTCACGCTTCCTGAAAATATTTTGCAAGCTTTTATTTTAATTGCACATTGAAATTAATGCTGCAGCTTTCAGCCAAGGAAAAACAGAATTTCTAGTCAACAAAGAAGTTGTCCTCTGAGCCAAAGTTCACATGTCTTAACACGCATTCGAACTCGCTTTTAAGCACATACATGCATGCATGTATATATAGGTATATCTAGTTGATAACACACACGCAGAGACGATGTCTTTGACAGCGCATTATTATCAAGAGTAAAGCTAAATAGCAACGGGTTAGCTGACTAAAGCTGACTGAGCTGCTGCTGACCAAGAAACCTAATCATTTTTGACCTTCCAGCTGGAGTTCTTCTAGCTGCTCTAACTACATTCAGCTCAAGCCTTTTTCGCCGTGGCAGCTTTTCGGCTAAGTCATGGACTTCACTCCACTCAACTTGGCCCATGCATGGTCCCTCACCTTTGACTTCAATTGCATAGCCAGTCGCGGCCAGTTCGCTGCCTTCTTCTATTCACCTTTATCGGGCGAGAAAAGTTTAGCCTGCAGCTGGATTCGACAAGCTTATCCATTTATTGCGGTTCATTTCGAAGGTGATTTTGGCCTGGAAGCACTTGTGTCAAATAGTTAGACAACTCATGGAGCTTGCTATTTAGGCACTGCTCTTAATCGGAGATCCTTGCATTTTACCTCCTTCCAGAGAGCGGAAGTCAGCTGTCGCAGTCTGAGTTCCCCTAAATTCTTTTGCATATTGACCTGTGTCAGCTGCTGCTATCAAATGCTGTCCTTTATGATAGATTAACAGATTGCGAGCAATCCATGCGCTGTTCACTCGCTCCGCAGCTCAGCAGCACATGAGAGTCAGGAGCACAAATCAGGCTTAGGAAAATGCAGCTAACCGCAGATCAGCAAGGACTTGCATAAGCATAAGAATACGCTGAAGAAGATATAGTTGTCTTTCCGATTAACTTGATTTATAATATATAATATAATATATTTTAATAATATAATAATTATATTATAATAATATAATAAATTCCCGCCTTGGTGCTCAGTGAACATTTTAGAAATATCTCAAGACGAGTCTAAGTCTTAACTATAAATATATAAAATTTCAAAACTCTTATACACAGCAAGGCAGACCTTGCAGAAAGCCAATATACTCTGTTCACTCTGTGAACGTGTATTACGAAGCAGCCGTTGCCCTTCCCTTAAAGTGTGATCAAGATCCGTCCATTCCTGGCGTAGACCTCTTGAAGCTCTGAGCAATGTTTTCTCTTTTAATATTCAAATTTCTTGCTTCATTTTCCGCTTGTAGTTCCAACTCGAGGATGCTGAGAGCTGATTATAGACAGATCTTCAAGACGATCAGTTAAAAGGCCGAGAGCAATATTCAAAAGTAAAGCAAAAATTTATTTATTATTTATTTGAACATTGTAAACATTATCCCGGTCAGAGCTAGGATTCATTTCATGCATTGGCTGTTCTTGGAGTTTATTAAAAAAATAAAAAAAAAATTGGGAAAGGTTTCAAACTGGCCTCCTCCAAAGAATTTTGTTCATTGAATCTCACACTATGTGCAGGAAGCCTCCAAAGCAGGCTGTGGAGGATTCCTCATGGCAAGATGCAAGATACTTAGAGCTGATTGCTCAACAAGCGGTCGCCCGTCGCACCCGACATGTCAGTCATGAGCTTTGTAAACTGTTGTTGTTGTTGTTGTTGCGGGTCAGCCAACGGGCCATCGGGAGTGAAGGTTGGCTTGGCCTGGAAGAGCAGCTGGTCGGCATAGATATCCTGATTGCCGAAAATCGGCTGGATCTTCTGGATCTGCATCAAGGGCACCTCGTCGCTGGCCTTCGTGGCAGCATTGGGCATTGTCTGCTCCATATCATCGGCCAAGGCCTTGGCTTTGTTCTGATTGCGGCGCAAGAGCTCCCAGTAGGAGACGTTCGGCTGAAAGACGGGATGGTATTTGGGCGGCTCCACCACCTTGACAATCTTGGGCGCTAGCTTAGTCACTGGCCGCATATAGTAGCCATCACCAGTTGCTCCGTTGGTCACGCGCAATTGGGCCAGGCGGCTCGTCAGATGGGTGTCATGCTTGGCTAGAGATATACCCTTGTGTATAGGAGGAGAGACGGGATCTATGACTAGTTGGGAGCTTACCTATGAAATGCTGCTGCTCCCGCAGCTCGCGCTCTGGCAACTCCATGGGTGTTGGCGTCTCGTAGTCCATTTGTGGCTCCATCGTCGGCAGCTCGCCCAGCAGCTTGCGCGAGCGATTGGACAGCGCTCGCTTGCCCGTGCAGACGTGCTCAAAGCCCGGCGGCGCTGGTGCTGCAGGTGTACGAGACTTGAGACTTGGGCTACAATTCATCAACTTCACAGACTACTGGCTACTCACGCATGGGATTGCTCGGATCTAGATGCCGCCGAGTGCGATCCAGCGGCTCCCACACCTGGCGCGACTCACAGATTGGCTGCCACTGAGTCAGCTCGTAGCGCGAGCTCGAAAATATCACCTGGCAACGGGCACGCGCTCGCGGCGAGACACACGCACGTCGAGCCTGTTGACCATCAGCGTCGGCTGCTTCAAGGTTGTGCGGGGATGCCGGCTCCTCGATAATATCCGACTTTGAGGATCGCTGTTGCTGCTGCGGCTGTTGCTGCGGCTGTTGCTGCTGCTGTTGCTGTGGCTGTTGTGGCTGTTGCTGTTGTGGCTGTTGCTGTTGCTGCTGTTCCTGTTGCTGCAATTGTTGCTGCAACTGTTGCTGCAACTGTTGCTGCAACTGTTGCTGCAACTGTTGCTGCTGCTGTTGTGGCTGTTGTGGCTGTTGCTGTTGCTGCTGTTCCTTTTGCTGTTCCTGTTGCTGCAATTGTTGCTGCAACTGTTGCTGCAACTGTTGCTGCAACTGTTGCTGCAACTGTTGCTGCTGCTGTTGTGGCTGTTGCTGTTGCTGCTGTTCCTTTTGCTGTTCCTGTTGCTGCAATTGTTGCTGCAACTGTTGCTGCTGCTGCTCCTGTTGCTGCTGCTGTTGCTGCTGCTGTTGCTGCTGCTGCTGTTGCTGCTGTTCCTGTTGTTGCTGTTTCGGTTCCTGTTCTAGTTCGCGCTGCTGCTGTTGCTGTAGCTGCTGCAAAGGCAGCGGCTGTGGCTGTGGCTGCGACTGCTGCTGTTGCTGATGCTGCTGCTGTTGTTGTTGTGGCTGCTGCTGTTGCTGCTCCTGCTGCTGCTCCTGCTGCTGCTCCTGCTGTTGCTGCTGCTGCTGCTGTTGCTGCTGTTGCTGCTGCTGCTGCTCCTCCCAGTTGTAAGCAGCAAATTTCTGTTCAACACTTGATGGCGCCGGCATCCGCATTGGCGTATAGAAGTTGGACAACATGCGCTTCTCTGGCTGCATGAGATTGCCGCCGTAGCCAGCGAGCAGTGGCTTCATCATGGGCCTGGGCCCACGCGGCTGGCAGTTGATCGGCGCCGGGCAGCGCGGATGCACTGGCCCCTGGCTATACGGGCAGGTTTGACGCGTGCGAAAGTCGTGGTGATGGCGTCGTGGCCGAAAGCCGCCATTCTGATTCGCCGATCGGTTGTGGTGCCGATGGTCGGGGAACGGTGTCGGCTGGCGTGGCCAGACGCTGCGAAATGGTCGGCGAAAATCATTGGAAGCCGCCAGCCGGCTCGGCGGGCAAAATGCAGATCTGCCCGTTAACGGGGTCATTGCTGGCTTGAACGTCGGCATCGTTGAGGTGCTGCCCATGGCCTGATCCACGCTGGGCATAGCTGTTGCTGCTTCCGTTGGCTTGCACGTGGACATGGCTGTTGATGGGAGCTTTGGCGAAATTGTTGGCGTAATTCTGAAAGTCGGTGGGGGTATGGGTGTAGGCGTGGGCGTGGGCGTGGGCGTGGGTGAAGGTGTGGGCATTGGTGTGGCTGTAGGAGCAGGTGTTGCTGTGGGCGTCGGCGTGTCTCTGGGCGTGGCTGCGGGCGTGTGTGTGGGCGTGTGTGTGGGCGTGTGGGTGGGCGTGTGTATGGGCGTAGGCGTTGGAGTGGGTGTGGGTGTGGGTGTGGGTGTGCGCGCCATCGTTGATGTGGCCAATGCTGTTGCCTTGCCCTTGCCCTTTGAGATTGGCAGTCGGGTTAGCACCTTTGCAGGCACAGGTGGCCGTATACTGTTCGGCAAATGCAGCGGCTCATCAATAATGCCAGTGGCCACCACCGACGCCCACGATGTAGATCGTCTCGATGTCATCGTTATGACGGTTACCTATTCAATAGGGATAGCGTAACTTCGTGCTGCGTCCACAATCATTGAATTCCCTGACGCTGGGCTGGAATGTGACCCTCCGGAGGCTCCAAGAGACCCGACCACGAGTCCTTGTCAAGTGCTATATCTCAGAGCTGTGTTTCGAGTCGTTTGATTAGCACCAAATTGTGGCGAACTATGTTCGAAAATGTACAAAACGATTTTCAGGCAATTGACAAATAATTTCAGGCTAATCAGATTAACAAATCAATTTTTTTTTTTTTTCATATTTATTCTACTCTGCTGCTTTCAGCATAATTTTTATTAATCAAACGAAAATTTATGCAAAAGACCTCCCTTTTCGCAGATCGCTTCTAGATAAACCAAAGCTTGAGGTAAGCCTTAATATGGAACATAATCTTTAACTTGCTTAAAGTTACCAAATTGTAATATTTTTTACCCTAATTGTGCTGTTTTAATCTATTAATCTAAATAAAGAAATACAAAAAATATATTATTTAAATCGCAATACTTTTTACTTTATATATCTGAACTGAAATGTGTATTTGGATTCTTTTTGTTGCGTTGCTAGTAAAAGCTTTGAAAAGAAAAATTAATTTACTGCGAGACTTTCAGTTCCCCACGAAGTGAGCTTAAAAGCAACGCAAGCTTTATTTAATACGACAAAGCGACAGCTAGTGTAAAAATAGCAAACTTCTCATTTCCAGCAACAATGTAGCAGAGAAACAACGAAAGCTTTAACAAAAGCATAAAGCTCTAAGCTCACACTGAGGCTCCATCTAGCGAAGCAACTTATCAAGTTTGTTTCGCTTTCATACATTTGTTCAATGCAAACATTCTCAGAGCCCGCAGATCGTGCAATTTTTAAAAATAGTAACAATAATAAGAATACATGTTAAGCAGCATATAAATATATAAATAAATTGTACATTACACTTACGACAATATACAATTCTTTAGTTATATTCAGCTGATGACAAATAATTCTGAGTTTTTTTTAGCTTGTGTATTATGATGTCTAACACTATTGTCGAGTAAGTCAGAAATTAATTTTCTGACATTGTTGGCACATACATACAGAGGGAACTGTCACCTGGAAGATTGTGATGGCATTGGCATATATATGTTAACAGCTTAAGTGTACTCGAATAAAAATCAAGCCCAACATCAAGAAGAACTGATTAGAAAATAGCAATAATAATAAATCTATTCTGAATTGCCGTTAATAAAGATAACATACCTTATCGGACAAATGGCAACATTAATCAAATGTGCAATCAAGAGGTGTGTTGGTAAATGCCGCAATGCAGCTATGTTCAGCTGTTTACGATTCGCCGCAACAGCGAAACGTTAGCCAACACCTTAAAACTATTGATATACAACGATATACACACACGCACACACACACACACATACACACACTCGCATACCTATAAACAAGCGCACACTTTCTTTCAATACAAAAAAATAAAGACGAGATATTTTTTGTAGACGGCTGTTGCAAAAGTTCTCAAACTAAATTCAAGAATACGAGCAGTTACCAGCAATCAGATAAATATTAAAATTTATATCCATATATAACAATATAAAGCCCTGTGAATTTGACGGCTGCAAGATCGAAATTCCACGGAAATAACATTCATTTTTCTAATAGAAATATACGTGTGTACACACACAGACGTACGTATATATATGCGCATATATATATATTTATATATATATATATATATATATTTGTATGTATGTAGTTGCGCACGCACATAAGGCAACAGCTGGTCGCAATATTGTAAACATTAAAACTCAACTACTGCCCGCCCCGCAAATCGAACAGTTCGCTGCGGCTCTCAACTAAAAGATTTCATTAATTTTTAATACCTATTCATATGCGTGCGTGCGTATGTGTGCGCCCTCATCTAATTGATAATCGCTGCCCACTCGCAACTGGAGCATGCTGTCGTAGCCAGGCGTCATCACTGTCAGCGTCAGCGTCATCATCACATTGAGTTGGGCTCTCGGGTTTGGGTCTGGGTCTGGGGGAGAGGCGAACAGCGCTCGTCACGTTTGCTGATAAGCGACGGTCAACATGTCCGCAACAGTTTCACCCGGTGAGAAGAACCTGTTGCGCGGCCTCAATAAGCTGCGCTCCCAGGGTAAGCTAACAGATGTGACGCTTATCGTCGAGGATCATCGCTTTAAGGTAACAAACACATCATCTAGCTACTGTCCAAGCTCTATATATATCTATGCATGCAGGCCCATCGCGTAGTGCTGGCGGCCAGTAGCGATTACTTCTGCGCCATGTTTGCGGACTGTGCCATGATTGAGTCGCGCAAGGAGGAGATCACACTCTATGGTGTAACGGCGCGGGCCATGGGCCGGATCATAGTCTATATATACACATCACTGCTGGAATTGAATGTCGATAATGTGGAGGAGACGCTAGCGGCGGCCACTCACGTCCAGGTGAAGGAGGTGATCGAGCGCTGCACCGTCTTCCTGGAGCAAAAGATTAGCATGGACAATTGCTTGGCAATAGCGAGCATGGCTGAGATTTATGGGCAACTGGCGTTGGCAGAGCGCGCCTTTCGCTACATCTGCGCACACTTTAAAGAGTTCGCAGCCAGCAGCGATTTCAAGGACGTCAAGCTGGAGCAGCTGCACTATATACTCTCCAGTAATTATCCAATTGATGTCAGCGAGCCGGAACTGGTGCGTCTGCTCTGCCGCTACGGGCTCGAATTGCAGCTGGAGGATGGTGCGTTGCTTGAGCTGTTGCGCCTCATCAAATGGCAGTATATCAGCCGTGAGGAACTGAAAACGCTGCGTCAACACAACTACTCGCTGGTCGAGGAGTATCTGGCCAGCATGCAGGAGAGCAGCAGCGGCCAGGAGACCATCTCAGAGGCACTCGAGCACTGCCTGCAACAGGGCCAGGGGCCCACGAATATGCGCGGCATGGAACTAAGTCTACTCAAAATTGGCGGCTTCGAGTGGAAGGGTCTGACCAATGAGATTATGTGCTTCTCGCCAACCAAAATGAAGTGGTACGAGCTAACCTCCATACCGCACATTGATCAATGTGAGCAGCAATCGCGCCAGCTATATTGGGGCAGACCTTCATGCATTTCTCTCTCTTCTTTCAGGCAATTTCGGCACAGCCGTGCTCAACAATGAGCTCTTCATTGTGGGTGGTGCCTATGATGTTTGCCTCAAGGAGTACATCCATCCATTTGGCTTCCGCTACTGTCCGCTGCGCGACTCCTGGGTAACCATAGCGCCCATACAGCTGGATCGCTGTCGATTCTCGCTCAATGCTGTTGGCAAACAGCATCTCTATGCTGTCGGTGGCAGCGTGGAGTACGACGATAACTCAGAGGAGGCACTGCGTCGCATGTCCAATGTGGAGCGTTACGATATCGTCACCAATACATGGACCTATATGCCCAGCCTGCAAGAGAATCGTAGTCAGCATGCTGGCGTCGTTGTCGGCGACAAACTCTACATATCAGGTAGGACCCATATATATAGTCTATAGCGAAGGCAAGTCCCTTACGAAAGTGTTTTCTCTCTGCTCTTATCATAGGTGGCATTCACTTGGCCAACATACTGTCCAGCACATGGTGCTTCGATACGAAGACCGAGCATTGGCAGGAGCTGGCACCGATGCCGACGCCCTGCTGCGACCATGTTCTGGTGGCTATCGACAATCGAATCTATGCCTGTGGTGGCTGGCACGAGACACTGCGGGAGTCACGAGTGCTGGTGGAGCACATCTATGCGTACGATATCAAGAGCAATACGTGGAGCGTGGAAACCAAAATACCCGCACCCAAATTCTATTCGGGCGTTACCTCAATGCGTCGCACCATCTTCTTTGTGGGTGGACTGGACTCCACCGAATCTATAGATCGCGCCAGCTCAGAGACGATGGCATATGATCTGGACACCGGCAATTGGTGGCATCGCAAAGACTCATGGGATACACCAAACGACGTCTGGGAATCCACATGCGTTGCCATCTATGTGCCCAGCTTTGACTCCTAGCATCGCGTTCCTCAGCGAGCCTCCATTGACGAATTTACACGACATCTAATAACATAATATGCTCAGCATATCTATGTATATATCGACATATATATATTTTTATATATATATAGAGAGAGAGAGAGATAGAAAGCCCTTAAAACCACGCTTGTGTTTATGAACCCATATTACACACTGTACAGAAATGAAATGTGGCAACTATGGCCATTAAAAACAATTGTTAATAGCAGGTCAAACGTTCGAATATTTAACTACTATTAGACAAATATTTAGAAGACGATTTATAAATAAAAATGTAACTCTTTGTTAGTAAAAATTAAAGCCATCTCCGAGTAATCTCTGGCGTGGACTGAATGAGTAAATGAATTGCAATTGGTTAAATTGCGATGCATTAACACATATATATATATAATAAGCTTTGTTATATATCTTCAAGGTAACAATAAAACAATTAGAATTTTAGTTCATAAGAGCGCGTCTCACATTTATATGTAGTATATATATATATATATATAAATATATATAATTCCCTTAAATTAACATCAAATTGAGTTCAGCAATCGCGTCTACTCGAATTTCGTTGCAAGCTTGAGTTGAATGTAGTTAATCTTAACTAGCAAAATTGATGAACATAAGTTAAATGAAATATTTGATTATATCTAAATGTGAACGCATATTTGCCATAGGCGTGCAGCGAGCAATAGCCGATACTTTTTATATATTTTTGGTAAACGTCCTCTATATCGTCATACATGCATAACTCTACAATGACTTTCATAGTAAATACATATACACACACATATACACATATATATATATATATATATATCTATATATGTATACATGTGCAGCAATAAAATCTTAAATGGCTAGAAACAAGAAACATGGCTAAAAACTAGACACTTAGGCGTCTCTAAAACATATGTATATATAGATAGATCAGATCTAGATGCTATGTCTAAAACACAAGAGAAAAAAAAGACTAAACTTAAGCACAGTTACGATTACAGTCACGTGTTACAACTAGAGTTTAAAATATGCTTTAAATTTAAACAAATACATAAGGAAATACACAGCTATTTGGTAAAGTGGAGTCCACAATGAAAGCTATGTATTGTGATGCGGGGCTATAACGACCCAACCATCGTTCTCTACGGTATCGCCGCTGACGATGCCACCGGACAGCTCTTGGCTGCTGCTGACCACCGGCGGCTGCTGGCGCGGATGGTTGGGTGCTAGTCGGTTGCCAGGCAGCTTCTCCCACTGCTGCTGCAGATTATTGTAAAGGCTTTGGAGGCCCTCCTTTAGCAAGAAAAGAGAAACGTGATATAGAAGGGCTACAAGAAATGCTTTAAGTTCAGGCTGCTCACCTTGTCTTTGATTTTGCGTAATATCTCCTGTTTCTGTTCGCGCTCGATGCGATCCATTTGCAGGATCAGCTTGTCCTTGAAGTCCTGCGCGTAGTAAAGGTTCGTGTCGACGCTCAGATACTCTTTGGCCATGTGCCGATGGTCGCGATAGATTGCCTGCGATTCGGCATTGTTCGGTATGGGTGGCTCTGGCTGCAGTTCTGGATCCAAGATCTCCGCTAGCGACTGCTCCGTGCAGCCACAGCCGGCATCCGCATCCGCATCCGCGCTCGCATCGACATTCGCATCGACACTATCATTCGGATTACCGGCACTGGCAGCGTGGCTAAGCAGTCCATTTGATAAATAGGTTTCGTTGTTATTAGAGCTATTGTTGTGGCTATTATTATTATTGTTATTGTTTGTGAGGTCTGTGGGGTTGTTGCTGCTGGTCATGATAACTGGCTTTGTGTCTGTCACTGTCAGCCGTTCCCGGCCATCACTTTTAGCTGCAAGACAGATAGACAAAAGCATAATAATTTAGAATATAGATAATGCCAATAAAATACATATACATATATATATTCAGTTGTTCTATTCACATACTGTAAATGATCCAGCAACTGTGCAGATCGTTCGTCTGCTTGGTGGTGATCAAGGCGCGCGTATCGCACATGTTGATCGAGTCAAGTTTGCTTTCCACTTGCACTGAACTACTTTAAATTGGTTAGTATCGTTGCCCAGATCTCTATATGCACTGCTGGATCATTTTTTAGGTGTAATTTAAGAGCAGAATGTGCCCAGCATTAAATGTTTTCCAGAGAGTAGCAAATCCTGTGAACTCTCGCTCTCTATCTCCCTCTCTCTCTCTCTGCTTTACTCTCGCATGTGTTTGCTTAAGGCTGCTGTGTGTGTGTGTGTGTGTGTGTGATGACGTATTTTCCACTCTGAGATGTGTGCTAGTTGCTTTTCTTGGTAAAATTGGAAAAATCAAAGTATAAACCACAGACACATCAAGCAAATTATTTTCAAGCGAATTTTTCCGACGCTCTCCCTCTCTTTCTCGCTTTGTTTTTCTCTCTAAATTTGTCTGCGTGTTTTTCTAGTTTTGTATATTGTTTATTTGTTGTTGCTTTGCGATTTTCTTAGTAATTTCACAGATTTTCATTATTTGCTTTAGCTTTTGGCGCCCTGCTTGGGCGTATGGGGCGTATGATTTATGCGGCTTTGCGGGGCGCGTTTAGTCTAACGCCCGGCGATGACAACAATTGACGATATTTGGAACGTTGCACGCTGCACGAACTTGCAGTAGCATTGCGGCACACAAGATCAGCACGGTGCCCAAACGTAGACTGAGCGCACGGGCCACTGTCTGCCGCTATCCAAGAACAATATTCGCTCGATTTCGCTCGACAAGCCGAGCAAGAGGTAGCACAGCTGGCCAAATGGCTGATGAGCACACACAATTGTGCCAGCCAGGAGAGTCAAGCATTGGGCCCACAACACTATGTACTATTAAAAAGCAACAAGCAGCTAGGCATGTATCATCAGCTAGATGTGCGGCTCCTTATACTAAACATTGCCATATCGAGCAGATGAGCATTTGCTGAACACTCACGGATGAATAATGCGACTGGCATGTGGTTGGGAAATCTCCGCTGCGATAAATGCCAACGGCAACGCCCCAACACCACAGTCCCGTTCTGCCCCGCATCCTCCCCATCCACCACCTCTTTAGGCCCCCCGCATACACCACGATCCTGCTCAACCAGAACGGCGTGACCCAACACAAAATTATTTTGCTGACTAGATAGGTCGGCGCACACTCACGCAGAGATAGATCGAGAGAGAGAGAGAGAGAGATCTTTTGAGGATGTGAGCTATCAAAACACGGTCCACCCGAAAAAAGATTCATCTTCTGCGATCGCTTGCTCGTGATATCGTCCCCGTGCCCATTAAAATGAAAACTTTTTTCGCTCTTCTAGCATTTATTGATATACACATGTCGGCATATGCATATATCTATAAGTCTATATACATCTGCACTATATACATATGTATAGACTCGAAATAAAAGTGATGACTCATTGGTCAATATGGTTGACTGCCGCGGGTTGGCCAAGAGCAGTGGCTGGGGCAGTGGGGCAGGCTTTTGTGGCTGTCCGACTGTCAGAGCCCCGCGTCATGTTTGTCGCTCGTTCACTCTCACCCTCTCTCTCTCCGCGTGTGTTTGTGTGCGCTATTTTGGCATGCCGCAACCATTAGTTGTTTTTCTTTCAATTCTCATTTTGTTGCTACTTTCTATGTGAAGGAGGCGACTGTGGTGACGGTGCATGTCAGGGCTATAAATCTAGCCGAAATTGCCAGCCAGCCAGGCTAGATAGTTAGCCAATCCACACAATACAATAATTGTGCAAAATGTGCAGCAATGACCAAAATAAATACCCTAACTGACTTGGGCATATTTAATTGCTGATCAATTCAGAGTATCTCAGTGAATTATTATAATAAAACTTTGTTGTTTCTCGTCTACTCTTAAGGTAGACAAGCGAAAATGCTCTAGGGTAGGCACTGCCTGACTAGCAGTTACCCCTACTGCCAGTTGCAATGTAGCAAATAAAGGAAAATACTTAAAAAGTCCAATACTCTGCTTACAATTCACTGACTGAATGAGTCTTATATATTTTATAAGCAACAAGCTTGTTTATCACTTATTCAACTATCGAATTCTAAGTCAATCGATTTAAAAGATGCCAAGATTAGCGTAGAAAACCATAAAAAAAACCATTGAACATGTGTAAACAGGGTATAAGGTTTTTGAGTGAGCATATGCCACATGCAGGACTGAGTAAGCCCTTGGTTCATCAAATATATCTATTTCAGGAACACATATCATATTTCATAAAGATTCTCCAAATATGTTCATATAACATATACAGCAGGAAGCTAGAAGGATTGGCGGGCCGCTCGTGCCTCAATAGGTATTTCATAGTCAGGCACTTAATTAAAAAAACGACTTTAAACTCTATTTTAAAATATCTGTGTAAAATTATACTGAAAACGTGATTCATATGCCTTTAACGATGCTTGCAAATGGCATAGAAATGTCAATTTTCAGACGAACGAGTGCGAATGTAATGCCTACAGCCGGACAAAGCCGGGCACTGTATATTCACATATACTAAATGATATACGCTAATATAATATATACGGTATACAGTAAATAGTATACAGATCGTAATATAGAATGCTATGCCGAAATCCACTCGAGACTTTCTGCCTAAGCCTTTACATTTCTATATTTGTGCATCTTTCATATATAATAATCTTATCTTATAACAAGTGTGTATCTATTTCTATATCTAAAGGTGCTTAAGTTTTTAGATAAATATTATTCAGGTTTCCATTTTTTATAAAATACTACTTTTAGATGATCTATTTCTTGCCCCAATCGCACTTGGTGTGGGTATTCTACTGGCCAGCGCATTATTGCAATTTCAATTCGGTGTCTGCTGCATGAGCGCATCGCATATTTATAAAGTTGGCCGCCTGAGACGTTGGCAATTGCAAAATGTTTTAAAATGCTTTTGCATAATAAAAACAACGCAACGACTAATTAAACAAAAATCGAGCGATTAAAATACGAAAACATTGGGGTTAAAGCGAGATAGCCAACGCATTGTTTACATACGATTAAGTGTTGGGCATATTGTTATTGTTATTGTTATTGTTGGTGTTGCTGTTGCTGATGATGGTGCGTCATGCTGTCGACCCCAACAGCTGCGAGACTCAACAGAATGCAAGCTAACAATTCGTTGAGCTATTTGCAACAACTACAACAAATTTACATGCCGCAATCGTGCTCATCCAAAAGAGCGTGCTAATGTGCGTGTGATTCACTCGCACAGACAATCAGACGACAGCGACAGCGACAACAACGATGACAATAGTTGCAATCAGGAACTCACCATGCAAACTGCTACGGCTGCTCTCGCTGCGATGCAATTCAAAACCATTCTGCAAGTTAACAAATTTATAAATATATCTATTCATGTGCATTAACCTCAAATTCGTATATTTTGTTCGACATACCGCTTCAACGTCCAGAGTAAGTTGTTCCATTGGCCTGCTGGCCATTTGTATCATGCCATTGCGTATAGTTTCCAAGCGCTTCGATGCTTCGGCCGATGATGTTAGATTGAAGCTATCATTTTGGCTCTCGCTGCTGTCCTCTTCGGGTATGGCATCCCAGCGATTGCTGCTGCTCATATGGAACAGCCCATTATTGTCAAGTTGGCCCGAATTGGTGGGCGTTATTTCTGATGAGGTATATTCGTTGTTGCTGGAGCCAGTGCCCAAGCCAGTTTCGATCTCAGTCGCAGTTCCACGCACATTGGTGGGCGTTAGCTGTGTGGACGTCAGGCTCCTATCACTGGAGCTATAACTTTGGCCATCATATTGAGCGGCCACCGTTCCGTCACTCTCTTTGGTCACAATCTGTAACGTAAAATGTGAATAAGCGAAGCTCCTGCTTTTTGGGCAAGTTTTACTTCCAACTGACCTGCTGGTTGACAAACGCATACTCTAGCGGCTTATCGGCGCCATCATAGTCTTTGATAATCTCATTCATTACGCCCACAATATAGTTCATCGATGGCCGATCCTCGGGCGTTGTTTTCCAGCAAGCTGTCATGAGTTGCTCAATGTTCTTGGGACAATTGTCAAGCAGTGGTGGTCGCTCGCCTTTAACGATAAAAGTTCATTATGATGAACGCATTCTAATTAGTTTGTAATCGCACTGCCTTACCCTTGTATATCTTCCACTGTATGGTGTAGGCGTTGTCAATATCCTTGAAGGGCTGCTGCCGTGACAACATCTCCCACAGCACAATTGCCCAGCTAAAGATGTCGCATTTCTCTGTATATTTGGAGCCCTCAAATACCTTTCCAGGGAAGAGGATTAAAAACAGTTTAATATAATCTCTGCTTCAAATGGCCTAACAACCCAGTTACAATGTAGTAACGGACTATATATCTTAAAATCTAGTTTAGTGAATAAAGAAAATGCAATTGAATGAGACTGACTGCATTTAACTCCAGCTCACCTCTGGCGCCATCCAGGCAGCGCTGCCGCGGTTGTTTGTCATCATGGTGGACTTGTCGGCGACAGTGCCAAAGTCGCATATCTTCAAATTGCGCCCTTTATTGGTCAGTAGCAAGTTGAGCGGCTTCAGATCACGATGTATGAGTGGCTTGGGCGTCATTCTATGCAGGTATGCGACACCCTGAGCAATTGTAATGCACATTTTACTTGTTTCATATTTTAGAACGGGTATTAGTAATTACCTCTGCACATTGGCGTGCCCAGCTCATGGCATGGGCCAAGCTGTAAGCGGGTTTCACTTTGCCATGCAAGAAATTGTGCAAGGATCCGCCCTCGGCATATTCCATAATCAGATATGTCGCCTGCTGGGCCAAGCAGATGCCATACAGAGCAATGATGTTGGGATGCTTAACACGCGACAGCTGCTTGACCTCCTTTTCAATGTCCTTCTGCTCGGCGCTAGCAAAGAACTCCTTGACGGCAACCAACTGATTCTGCCAGATAGCCTTACACACAACACCGTACGATCCATGGCCGACTTTCTGTAGGTAAGGAATGAATGATCAGATTGAATTATGCAGGCATACAATAACCCTCACCTCGCCCAGCTTAATTTCGCTGAAGTCAACATTGGTCGCTTGCACTGCATCTGGCGAAGAGGCGGCCATCACCTGCTGCTGCTAGCGTACTTTGCTGCTGCTGCTGTTCCTTTTCAATATTGAGCCTCCAGTGGCTGCTATATCTGCTGCAAATCTTTGTATGGAGTGCGCCGTTAGCTATTGTTGCTGGATCTGTTTTGCAGCCTGCTTTGCTTATGTCAACCAGCAGTGAATCGCTGCGCACATCTTTCTAACGGCTAACTACGGGGCTTGCCGTTGACCTTAACAATACCATTGGAAACTGGAACAACGACGGTGCACTTGTACAATTACTTTGCGCTGCAATTTGCCTCTTCAGTTTACTTTTTTAACAAATATTTCGCATTTTTCTCGTTTTTGGCCTTTCGTTTCGCTGTCTGGCTAGTGGTTGGGACCTCCAGAACAAACATCGATACTATCGATAGTATCATAGAATAGTGTGTATTGCCGCCACAACATATCGAGACTGCTATACATCCCTTATTTTAATACACAATATATCAACCAATAATAACACTTCACTTATGAAGATAACACCATTGTATGTTATTATAAAATATATTTTCCTCAACTATGAAATATATTTTCTGTTATTAATATTATATATGCATATTTATGTATTAAAATAATTAATTAAAAAGTAGCAACTTAAATATTGGTTCACATTTTTTAAAATCCACAATTTATTTATATATGTATCTGCTGAACTAATTCAATTTCCACTTATACTACCGATTAATATAAGTTGTAATAACCATTGGCTCATCTCCAAATCTTATCGACATAGAAAAACATATCGACCATATTTATCGCAGTTTTAGGCATCGACTTATTCATCATATCGATATTTTTATCCATCCCTAACTCATACGTTCAAGCGCTCGCTCACCAAGCGGATGCAATTTCGGACAAAAAGGAAAAACCATAATTTGTTATTTTTTTTTTACGCTCGTATTACACACTGCAAATGCAAACAAATAAGTTAACTGTGCTAAAATATACACACATTGGTGATAACAAAAATCGAATGCCTCAATTACAACAAGTGTGCAGCCTGTGGCCCGCGTGAATCGGAATCGAAAGTGTGCGTGTGTGAAATTTGCTTTTGTAGCAAATAAAAAGGCGAGTAAAAAAAGTGCGTCTAAATATATGAAAAGAAAAATTGTGATGGTTGTGAGGGGGATGGTTAGGAGAAACAGCAGTAGCCAGCAGCAGCAGCAACAACAACAACAGCATTTCCCCACGATTTTGCCAAAGTGTTGGAGGCGACGCCGCCAATTAATGCTCGTGCGGCCGCCTTCATCGTCGTCGTCGCCGTCGCCGCAGCCATTGATGCCGACGCCAGTGTCACCGCAGCAATAACAACAACAAACAGAAACAACAACAAATGCTGCAACGTGAAAAAAACGAAATGTCAAGCTTTTGCAAAGTTTGCATATCGAGAAGACGCACATAAAACTCGCTTTATTTTTTGGTTTGTTTTTTTCTTCTTTTTTTTTAGTTTTGCTTTTCATTTCTTCTTCTTCTGAATCTTTTTTTTGTATGTTTTCATTGAAAACGAACAAGTTCAAGTGAAATACATAGTTACCAAAGCACAAAAAGAAGAAGCAGCACCGCTGCCCCAACGGTGTAGGAGCAAAGAGAGTCTCAGCTTCATCATTATTATTATTATCATTATCATTATCATCATCATCATCTCCATCTCGTCCACATACTCTTCTTTTGTTTAGGATGTGTGCGTGTATTTTTTATGCGTGCACGAACCATGAGGAAGAGGAAGCGCTACCAAATATTACTGTGCGACTCATTCTCTCTTTCGCTCTCTCACCGTCTCTCTTCGCACATGTGTGTGTGTGAGAGAAAGAGAATTTCCATTGCCTGCTTCTGGCTAAGACTTCGTTTAGTACTTAATCTTGATACAGTTATTGGCGTTTTACTGCTTTTTCGAGGGTATTCCAAACGTAATATCCACTTGATTTCTGTCTGTTCGTACTCATCTTAAAGCATTTATTGCAGGCAGATAAATACTTATAGATTACAGGGTATCTTCTAGTCGCAACAGTGCTCAATAGTTACGTTTGGTTAGTCTGTTTTTGAAATTACATTGATCTTTTGTTTATTTGTACACTATTTAAATGTATTCTCGTCTTGATGTTAACATAAACAATCGAAAGAAACAAAAACGTTTTTATGTACTCCACTTCACTTGTCTCTCCCATTCCCGTTTTGTTGCGTTTGGAGTTACGTTCGACATTATTCTTGTTGCTGTTGTTGTTGCTACCGCTGCTGCTGTTGTTGCTGTTGTTGGTATCTTTTACGTACACACACACAGGCACATTTCGAGTTTGTACATAAACAGCGAAAGTTGTCTTCCTGCTTTTTTCCCATTTTGTTCCTCAGCGGCATTTTGAAGTTTTTGCCTCGCTCTTGCGATCAGCTCACAATTCCTGTTAGCAAGGGCATATGCAAATTTACTTTTGCGACCTTCTGCACTCTCTCTCGCTCTCTCTCTTTCTTTTACAACTTTTGCTGATTCGCTCTGTTAACTCTCTTTCTTTAAATAAATAGATGTTATGTATTTATGTCTTCATCTCTCTCTCTCTCAATGTAGCTGAGAGACCTCGCCAAAGGACAGTCTACTCTACTAAAAATGTAGCAACAAAGTAAAATAACTGTAATTAATTCGAATTTTTTACATTTTCATTGCAATAATAGTACTTAATCCAAAGAGTTATATTTAATGAATGCATATAAGACATGACTCACAGAACTCACGAACTCTCTGCTTAAAGTCATAAATAACAATGGCCTGAAAACGTCCCTTCTCTTTTCATGCTTTTGCATACTCATCTCGTAATTAGGAATACGAAATGTAACCCAAAACAAATTAAAAAGATACAACGAATAACCCAAGAACATACCAGTAGTAGTATATGCATTCATACATATGTCTGTATAGATATATATATATATCTATAGGTGTTCACTGAAAATGATGTGAATAAAGAGTGCCGATATCTGTACATTTTTCACGCTCCAAAGTTCAGCTGGGTAAGTCAGTGTCCCTTTCATGTGCATACAATTTTCATGACATTGTTGTTTTTGTTTTTGTTGTTGTTGGTCGAATTGGCTGCAGTAATTGCCAGCGTATTTATTTCCTATGCAAAGCGCCTTGAACTCGCGATACAAAAACAAACAAAAAACTACAACAACAACAATGAATGTTGTTAAAGTAAAAAAGGAAGGTTAATCAAGCAACTAGCCAAGCTTGAGCGATTGTCCGTTCGGCCACTTGGTCTTCGCCTGGGCTTGTTGCTGATTCCATGCAAAAGGCGAAGGCAGCTTAGTTCCCAGGCCCGTTAATCCAACTTACATGTATATGTATGTGTGCATAAGTGTATGTATTAGCGCTGTACTTCAAGGTTTTATGTAATTGTTAATATAATTTTGTTGCTGTTGATTTTTATTTTCATTTCTAATACCCTGTACAAAGTGTAAGTGTGCGTTGGGTATCCTGAAAAGAGAAAAATAAACATTTGTTAATCCTCTGAAGTTCACAACTGTCTGGAACACACGAAGTACTTGTCGCAGTTACCTTTAAGACTTAAACAATACCAGACTTAAGTCTAAGACATACATATGTTGGCCTATGGCAACTGATAGAAAATTAGTAATTGTAACTCAATAACTAGAAGCTGTTCGTTAAGTTAGTTTTCACTGTAAATATAATTTAATACGTTATTTAGCTTAGCTTTATGTAAACTTTGTATAGGGTATCTGTTGGTCAGACAATTGTGCATTGTGCACTTTGGCTTGCTTATGTTTTTCTCCATTTGTGCTTCTTGCGTGTTGGTCGAATTCAAAAAACGACAAAAGCAACAATGCAAACAACAACAAGGTGATTTCTTACAATCGTGATTTGTCGACAATTGTTGTTGCTGCTGCTGCCTGTCTGTCTAACAGTTGTTGTCCGTTATTATTAAGTATTAGCCAACTACATTTGACCCAATGTGTTGATAAGTGTAATTCATTGCGCATTATATGTAATATATGACTTTCTATAAACATATAAACTGATATATATGTATATATATATATATATATATATATATATATTGAAAAGAAAACCTCTGTTTTGACCTTATCTATGTCAATGTTGGCTTCATCAAATTTCATTTATGACCAGTCTTATCTATAATGTTGAAGTCTAGATAACTAAAAATTAAAGTAATAAAAAAACGAATGCAATCACATAAGTTATTCATATAAATAATACTATATAAAGAAAATATATATAAAAATATATAAAATAAAATAATATATAAATATTTTTTTTAATATTTGACTTCAATTTTACTTTCGTAAAATTTCAATTCCCTTTACAATACTCTGTCATTTTCTGTTCCATTTATTCTTATGCCAAAATCTCATTGACCTTTCACATAGTCTAACAATATACCCCATGCTCTATCCCACTGTGTGCCTTGCACACTGACCTGTCGCCCTCTGGCGGCTGCAATTGGTACTGCTTGCCAATCCAGTTGTTATTACTCACATTTGCGTTGTTGCTATTGTTGTTGTTGTTGCAGTTGCAGTTGCACTTGTTGGCCATTTGTCAACTGTCTGTAAAAAGCGTGAAATTTACAACGTTCTACAATTTAAATACTAGAACTAACAATTTGTTACTGCTATTGTTGCTATTGTTATTGCTGTTGCTGTTGCTGTTTCTATTTCTGTTTCCATTCGCGTTGTTTGCTTGTTGTTGCATGACTGAAGAACACGATAAAGGTATGATGACATAACCCCACATGCACTTTATGCCTCGCGAGCGCACAACGAACTACAAACACAACAGGGCTTAGGCTCCGATAAAAATTCCGATATAATGCGCAAAAAAAGTAATCATAAAAAAAATAAAAAAAATATATATATTGTATAATTTTTGTATTTCTACAATGAAATTAGGTTTGTCATGGCGTACAACAATTTCTGATATTCATGTCATGCTTTCTCTATGAATTTCAATTTTTACATATGCTCAGCCCAGCGTTAAGCTATCTTCTCGTCGGGCACTTCCGCACTCTTACATCTGCTGTATGCAAAGCTGGAATATTTGAAACATCATTTCAATGTAGGGTTCGGTATATCCTAGTCAGGCATTCCAGCCTATTTGTTGGGATATTGTTTAGTTGGGCATTTTCGATCTGTTACTTTCTTTGTGTGTATAGAATATATCAAAAATCATTTCGGTGTAAGAATCGATGTGTCTCTTAGTCACTTTAGTCTAGCGAACATTTATTTATTCCATAAGAGCAATAAAAATGTTTTTGAAACATCAGTCTAGCTTTTTGCTTAGGGTATATCTCAGCTGAGCACTTCCGCACCCTTAGAGACGGCGTATCTCCTAGTCAGGCACTCCCACTCATTGTTCTCCTTATAAATATGCATAACTAGCCAACAGCTGATATTAAAATCAAAATTCAGGGTATATGCTAGTCAGGCAATGCGCTCTAGAATTTTTTTTACTTGTTTTGTTGTTGTTGTTGCTGTTCTTGACACATTTCCGGTGATCTTCAGTGTGTGTGTGTGAGCCTGAGTCTGTTCTCTTAACTAGCTCGATTGCTTTTACCAAGCACTTGTCATGTCTTGCACTTGCCTCAGTTCCGTTGAAGCGTCTAGTCAACCAAAGTTTGTCATTTCATTAGAAATGTACCTTATCGAAAGAAAAAAAACAAAGCAAAATAAGCAAAAAAAAATTAAAAAACTATAGAAAAAATACCCTTAAAAAATGGAAAATAAACTAAAAAAAACTTTTGTATTTTAACAATTAATATTTGATTGAAATTCATAAAAATGAAAAGAGTTAAATATTCCAAAAAATTAAATTTTTATCATTTGTTAATTCGATTTCTGAGGATGTCAAATGTGGAGAAATATTATTGAATAAGATTTTAGCTACTTGATTAAGTGAATATCTTTAATTATCTTGTTGTGAGAGACAGCGATTGTGATTGAGTGTCGCAGTGAAACCTGTTTGCAGATAGAATCGTTGCATAAGAACTGAGCTCTGCACAGCTTCCTGCAGTTGGGCAAAGGCGTCCAGTGATAAACATGGCCCAATAAACAAATGGCACAATCCAACGCAATCAGCTGCCTTATCAGCTGACCAAACAAAGAAAAAATTGCACAAAATTGTATGAGAGAGAGGAAAAAAGAAAGACCATGGACGCATGACAACTTGGACAGGACGGGAGCATTTGTGGAAACGAGGTGTGTCCGTGTGTGCGGACACAATCTGAGACCTGCAATCCGAGACCTGGGCGGACAGGGTATTATCCGCACAGGTATCCGGGCGCTGAATCAAGTCAAGTCGAGTCAAGTCATGCCGAGTCTTTGTCAACGTGATTACGTTTCACGCTAGGCCGGAAGAGTCCAAAGGAAATGCAGCGGGCACGGGAGCGCAACATAAAACCAACCTCCATAACCCTTTGCATACTCTCGCTCTCTCCAGCTCCCCACTCCCTACTCTTTCTCTCCCCCTCTTTTTCTGTCTGTCTCTGTCTTCCTTTTGCCTTGTTTAAACTCATCAACGTCGCTATTATCAACTCGAGCGTTGTGATTATCTGACAATTGTCTGTGGGAGCGCCAGCAAACGAGAGTCCAGGGTCGAGCTATCAGTTAGGTGGTTAGGTGGGTCTAACGGTGTCGGCAGACACGTGTTGTAGTATGAACACAAGTGGATACTGAGTGCTTGCACTTATATATACATATGAATATATTATATATATGAATATATTCATTTGCGAACAGTCTGAAGACAGCGGAAACATAGAGACGAATCTTCAGTCCAATTGCTGATTAAAAACTATCAAAATTATTAAATTTAAATCGAAATCTCAAGACTAACATTCAAGTTACAGAAGTTACGACTAAGAGACAATTTAAAATTAAATTTGAACTGCAGGCAAATACCCGAAGATACACAGAGCACTCTGGGGGTGTTGTTGGGTGGCGTAAGGTGTGCATAGATGGTAGCAAACGCAAATGCGTTGGAGGACAACACTTGAGAACATAGCAGCAGCAGCAGCAGCGGCAGCGGCAATAATAACCACAACAATAACAGTTGCTACTGTTAACCGTGGTTACTGTCGCTGACGCTGTCAACGTCAGCAGCAGCAGCAGCAGCAGTAACAACAACAACAACAAAGAGAACGAGCACGAGAACCACATCAACAAGCGAGAAGCAGCACATTAAACACAAGTCTGAAAATGTTGCCTCTGCTTCGATCGATATTGTCGAAAGCAAAGTGTCAAAAGCGAGCAGGGAAAAATGAAAGGAAATGAAACGGAGACAGCCCCATAGGGATGTTAGGGACTTGAGCCGCGGCTTTGTGGAGAAACCCTACATTTTACAGCAATTCGAATTACCAAACTTCTGTTTCCTAAATAAAACTCAATCTGAAAATAGCTCCGACAAGTTTAGTTTGGATATAGAAGATATAGGCAAATCAAAAGCAAATTAATGATGTTTGCTAGATACTTTCAAATTAATCAATCTCTTGGTATATAATCAGCTTCATATTTTTTTCTCGCTCTTTCTCT